TAACCTCTGCCTCCTCCGCGAAATCCTCGTTGGAAACCACGGTTATAGTCATTTCGCGGTCGATTCTGCTGATGCTGCTGCTGTTGTTGTTGTTGTTGTTTGGATGATTGTTGCGCTGAAGTCGATGCTTCTTGACGATTTCTATCGCTCATTTGCGTTCGAATTTCGTTGAATTGTTTTTCCATAGCTTCTTGTGTCGCGCTAAGTTTAGACAAGGCGTTTATCAGATTATCGGATACTGTTGCGCTAATTTCATTGAATCCATCCTCTGGATAATCTTCTTTTCGGCAAACTTCGCGTATGGTCATTTGTCTCCTTGTATATGTACACAATTCTTGTACTGTTTCTCCCGCAGGGCGATCCATTAGTTTGCCTCGAAGCCAATTGGGCATGGCTTTTATAAAAAAGTCTGCGAACCTGTTCATCCCGATTTTCTCTGACTGCGTCTAATCTTTCGTCGCGTTGGGCAGTTTCTCGAGCATGTCGGGCTGCTTCGAGAGCTGCATCCGCTGCTCCTGCATCAATTGGGTTAGGAATTGCAATTTCAGGCGTTGGGTATGCTTTCTCCGCTTTTTTCTGTAACGTCACCAAGAAATTCTCCGGCGTATCCTTCTTTAAATCAAATTTAGTTTGTTCAAGCTTCAAGACATGAACTTCTTGAAGTTGAGGATTACTGAAATGGTCTCGCAATGCTGTCAGACTATTCGCTACGTTTTCTCTGGTTGCGGCTGGTAACGTTTGGTAAAACCGAAGTGCGTGATCTCGCAAATGGAGTTGAAGAAAGTTCGCTTGCTGGAGTGGTGCGACACCTGCAACTCCGATGAATCCGTTGAAGAGTTGTTCGAATTGGGCGAAATCTTCGGCATCCGTACCGCCGTATGGTGTGACTGAGATTTGAGCGTGCGCCATTTACAATTTTGATGATTTTCAGTCTGATTTATGCAATTAGTGAAACTTATTAGCACAAATTAGGATAAGTTTTCCGCAAAAGGTAATAAGTTACGAGCTATTTCGTTTAAGTACTCAATATGGTTATTGGCAAATGTTCAATAATCTTTAGGTGGGTTTAGGTAGTGGTACGATACTATTTTGACTTTAAGCATTAATTTATTGCATTTACGCTTCTCCAATTTTTGATGAATTCATAAATTTAATGATTGATTTCAAACTGGGTTGATTGAGCGCACACCAATTTTAAAACTTCCACCAATATATAGCACAAGAGTCTTAATGGTTTGACCTACAAGTTTGTAGAGACGAAAGTTCTCGAGTTTTTCCCCTGATACATCACTTGGATGAAGTTTCCTCAACTAGAAAATCCACAAAAACTGTAGGATGTAGTATAAGTTTTCACTTCTTTGGCTCGACACAGTTGCTGCGCTTGATCTATTGTTTTAGCACCCTTGCGATGTCGTCTGGATGTTCAGCTGGAGTGGGTGGAGATTGTCACTGTCGTTCACGAACTATCACCATATGACATACTGCTTGTTGGTCTCTATTTGCATGTTCTTTCTAGATGTTATTGTTGCAGTATCTTATCACGGACGCTTGGGCCCCGACAGCATGAATCTCTCCCTAATCTTCAGCTCACTAACAATTTAGCTTTTGGTTAGTTTTATTCAATTTCTCTTTCTGACTGTTTATTAGACTAACTATCGCATCCTCCTCAATTCTGAACACACTATTTACTTTTTGTCAATAATAAGTTATTCAACTGCATGCTTGAGATTTTAACATTATACATTTTCTAATATGGCAATAATTTCATGGCTATCAATGACATCACTTTAGAGGTGTCACATGAAAATTTCCTTTGTAGCTCCCTTGTTACATTATCCCTTGTAGCTCAAATCACTACTTAAAGGAATTGATTATTCGACCCCATCTGACGTTTAATTATGGCTACTGGTTCTGCACGAAGAAAACATTTGAATACCAAGTTTCTTCATATATTCGGTGGTCAGAAAAATTGCTGCTATTTGATCTCTTTCTATAGTTGGTTTGTATGCAGCGATTCATGATCTGAGCTTTACACAAGCGCTCTTATAACATTCAAAAACATTATCTTTTAAATTACCTGGCGATCTCTTCCCTCATTCCAATCTCAATCGCTTGATGCACTTTCGTGGGTGCTTTACGTTCGAGAGCTTCAATTCCATCACGGAGCAGAGACTCCATAGTCGTGTTCAGACCCCCTCCCAGTGGTATCTCTGCGCCTTCCTTTCCCAAAGATGCAGGGATGATGAGTTTACTTGGTGTCAAAGGCATTGCTGATCACAGAGATTTGATTACTGACAAATGGCAGCCAGGAATATGCAAACCAATGATGATTACAAAATTTACAAATGATTAACAGTTCAACTACTGCTTTCAAATTTGATCTTAAAAAAACACTTTTTCGGTTCTGAACCAAAACCAACACCGCAAAATTTTAACAATATATTAGCATTCAGGCAAAGTTAGGAAGACGACAACGCTCGGGGAAGGCGCCTGATGAGACACAAACAAAATCGTTGTCTTAGAAGATTTTGGAATCTCAAGTCTTAACATCATAAGTCCACACACACACAAAAAAATCTATTTTCAATAATGGAATATGAGGCACCTTAGCCGATATAAGCAAAAGCAACTAAGCCAAAACATTTTAAGCGAAAATCAAAAACGGAAACTATACAAAATCGGAGTTGCCAAATTAACAAATTACAAGAATAAATACAAATGACTTTCAATTCTTAAAAAATGCTGAGCTCAAAAGAAAAGCCCACGCAGAGTCAAGTAAGCAGACAAAGTAGTCTGTCAAGTAAGCAGACAATTGCTAGTCCGATCATCAAATTTTCCCAGTAAATTTCAATTTGCGAAAAAAAAACAGCTCCTGACAGAATCCTTTTCTCGTCCGGGTTATGTTTTTTTATTAGACCCCCTCAGCACAGCTCGCGCTTTTCACCCGTGTGGGCAGAAATATCATTCATTTTGCCCCAGTCGATCAAACTGTGAGGAGGCGGATGATACTGGGACCCCTCCAACCGTGGCCGAAGCGGAATTTGAAACCACGACTTTTGTGTTAAAGGCCGCCCCCGTCTTACCCACTGAGCCACGGCTGCTCAAGCAAAAATGACATTTGGAACTTGATATCTGGAACAAGCAAAAAAGCATCCGACTACAATACAAAGAGTAGCCGGTTACTGTTCATGTGAAACAGAATGTTCCGATTTAAGTATTAAAAACCTACAAAAGAAAATTTAATTAGTGAAGTTTTTTCTACGTGATGTGATAAAGGATCCGAACGTTAAACTAGAATTTAGGCATATTCGACAATTATCGTAAAAAAGGCAAATTGCACTACAGTTTTTGCAGAAAAAAATTACTAGAAAAGCCAAAAAAATAACAGAGTCGAAGCTTCGGTTCGCAAACATCTGCGGGATCACGACAAAAGCAGCTCTATAAAAAGCAAAAAGAAAAAGTAGAAATAAGCTTCGAATAAGTAAAATTCAGCTACGTCTCGGACTCGATTTGCGACCTAGAGATTATGATTCTCACACACTAATCACTCATTCACGGACGCTTAATAAACCACATTCACTAGCCACAAATAAAGCAGAGAACAGGAGCTTTGAAATTTCCAATACTACAGGTGATTATAGCAAAAGAGTCACCAAATAAGTGAACATTTTTAATGAACACTTTTAATTGCGAGTAAGGTTAGAAAAAAAAAGTTCGTACAAAAACACTGCGCTCGCAATTCGCTAGTGTAATTAAGGTATTGTATTGTAAGCCTGCTCGCTCGCTTTATTTCTCGAAATCAAACTAACAATCACAAAATTTTAAACCAATTTTCATCAAAACTGGAAAAAATTTGTTGATAAATTTTTAAAATTGATCGATGCACGAACTTCAATTTGGTATATCTCTAGACCCATTCCAATGATTATTTGTGGTATGTGATTTTGCAGTAAGAAAAACTGAAACTTACTCGATTACAAAGTTCCTCCCCATTTTCAATGGTCGGAACAACAATGATACGCGGTTCCTGTGCAAGTAATTACTGACTACATTGATTCAAGGAAAATGCAATAGAATGAAAAATTTGAAAAACAAACTGCAGAAAACCTTTTTTTTTCTTTTGATTTGTTTTGTTCAATTTTTCCGGCGTGTTTTGTTCAAGAAACGGCGATCGAATTCGGTGAAATTTAGGATGAGTGGTAATAGTTACCTAAAATAGTTTGTAAACTGTTAGAGAATTCAATTTAGAGATCAGTCTCTAATCAAATTCCCATCATCTTTTTTTTCAAATTTAATCTAATAAGCGAAAAAAAATTCAGACGAATCATCACCAATAGAACTTTAACATGAGAAAGGTCAAAACTAACTTAAATATAAAAATAACAATTATCAAAACGGACCCTATGCCCTAATTCCTTCCCATTCTTCGAAAATGGTCGGAACGATGTTATGCGCTGGGCTATCTGACTTTGTCTGTAACGAAATGTAGTTAATTCAGGTTAAAAAAAACATCTGTACTGTGATTCATATATGACATATCACCATAATTCATGCAACTTCACACTTTTTTTTAAAGGAAAACCATTTTCATTTTAAGGAAAACCATTATTAACTTTTCACGCCATTTGATGATGACTGCAAGCAGATAACTTCAAAGGCTACGGTTGGAACTATTTTAAGAGGGAAGTAAAGGCTCCCAGAGAGCACTCGGCATCCAGCATACTAGGATCGTCATGAAATTGAGCCACTTTTTTAAGCTCATTTCAATTGCTTACCTCTGGTAAACTCCATTGAACTCCTTTGGAAAAATTCTAAATTTGTATTTATATGCAGACTTGATCTTTTCAACAATTCTCTCATAAAAACGACTGAGACTCATTAAGCAATTTCAACTCCAACGATTTCCTATTTTATAACCATGTACTAAATATTTTTATAAAGCGGATACTTCCAACGCATTTGAGCTAACAAAACGTACATTTACATTAATTTTACTTTTTGCTTGTATTTTGCAGTAATTTTGCGATTTCTGCAAGAGTTTAAACATTTTCGGCAGTCTCAGGAAGCGGAAATTATACGCAAATCAAATATATGCTTAACATTTGTACCAACTATAGCAGCTCAAAATGAGCCCTAATTACAGGAAACTTATACAATTTGCAATGAAGCTTACATAACTCGTTCTTCTCGATAAGTCGTTCTGTGTGTTTGCGGCGGCTTCTCATCAGTTTAGGCACTTCCTTTTTTCCTTGCCATCCGAGAAAAAATGAGGAAGACATTTAAATAGTAGATTATGAAAGGGCAATACTAACACTAATATCAACGAATTAAGCGCAAATTGTGACTGAAGAAGACAAACTAATATAAAAACAGGCAATAAAGCAGTCACATATCAGGGGATAACAATATCAGTATTAGACTCATCGTACACATCGGAAGATAATAAATATTAATACTATACAAACTCGAGGATAGACTACCGTTTTAATATTCACAACAGCAAACAACTGCACCCAACAGTTATATCCCGCTTTGACTATAAAATGACATCGCTTTTAACTTCTACTAAACAAGAACCTTCAAGTTCAGCGAACCAAATTCAGTCGGCTTTGAATCAAGGCATAGATATACACACAGGCACTCAAAAGAAAACAGGCGAGCATCACCCGTGCTACGGCAGAAAAACACAATCGGATCTATCAGAGCGACATGCGATGACCTTGGGGTCCGGCAACCAACTGGAGATCCCCGGAAACGCTCGTGATATTAGACGCCACTCCGCGTCAGATCTGGGAAAAACGAGCTCAGTCGTGGCACAGGCCATTCCCGAACATGACATAGTCGAGGTTACCGATCAAATTCCGATCGCGGGAACTTACAATTACAAAGCACCCAGAAAATCAAGCGCTGGAATCCCTCAAGGTAAACTATGTTAAAGGGTAATCTTAGCTATTCCAAATTGGAAAATGGATGTTAAGATAATTTTTTTCCACGAAAGAAAATATCAACATAGGATAACTTATTTCAGAAAATTCAAGCAAAAAGCATGGATCGTGTTGGTCCTCGCGTCATTGAATGTTTGAGCCGAAAAAAAAACTTTAAAAAAATTTCGATCGCTTTGCTCCTCAAATCATTAAATGTTAAATTAGCATTGGGAAAACAACTTATGAAGCGGTGACACGCGTTGAGTCGAAAAAAATCATTAAAATTTAAAAGAAGTTTTGACGCCCATCCTTCTAAAAACTCACGCGCATCAGAAACTTTTTTTTGCTTGTCTAACGACGCAATATGAGGCCATTTACCTACTTCTTCAAGTGAAAGCTTTTCAGCGGAATAAAAAGAAAACAAAAACTTAAAAACCATATCAAAACTGGTACATTTATAGCCAAAGCTGAACTTCACAAACAAGCAAAAAAAGCTCGAAAGGGTCAAACAGTGGAAAAAGAAAAAGTCAAGATAATAAAAACTCTGCTATGAGCCGGAATCCAACACCCGTTCTTGAGATCGAACGTCACATTCCTAGCATCAGCACCATGGCCGCTTAACAATAGCTAAGCACTAGGGGTGCAGCTAAAGTTAACTTTGTCATAACATTTTTACTGTTGTGAAATGTAATGCGTAGTTGCGAAAAAGACAGAAACTGGACTTTTACTAATTAAACAGCTGATTCCTAACAAAAATAAGGTGGAACACGTTTTTGCAGGGGAGGTTAAAACAACTACTTTGATTAATTTCGGTTGTTTTTGGGAAATAGAACAAGTCAAAAATTGAGTCGAAAGGTCAAATATTTATTAAGTCCATAGCTAAACTAGAAAATGCGCTTATGAAGGGGATTCCATTCAACTGCTTTTTTCGATTGAACCCTTAATCTCAATTTTGGCTCCGAAGTTTTCGAAAAAATCCAAAGCAAAATCAAAAAATGGATTTTCGTATATCAGGCAATGCTTTTCTAGAAAAATAAGAGCGTAGCCGCTATGCAGAAATTTTTCCCAGCACACTTTCTTTCGAGCAAACCCTTCATCCCAGATTTGGCAGATTAGCTTCTGACAAAAACCTCCGGAAACGTTCTAACTTCAAGAATAGACTTTTCCATAAAAGAAGAGCGTAGCTGCTTATGCAGAGAAAATTACTATTACCTGAGGTACTGACTAAAAATTTTAAAAATCCCAAAACAAGCCAAATTTCATAAAGTGTACATCTGAGGCTATAAATTTGTTTCAGTTATAATTGAGGGCGACATCAATTGTGCTGAGAAGATTCACAAAACTTCTTCTTTCGATTAAATTTTCAACCTCAGATTTGGCACGGTAGTTTTCAAGAACAGGAAAAAGTTCCCAGAAAACTATCAACAAACAGAGACTTGAAAGCACACATTTGTACCACTTTTTTCTGAACATTGGTAAAATAGTTCCAGAAAAATTAGAAAAAAGGGTTCGATTAAAATGGGCCCTTCCGTCATGCGACGGTCCGTGCACAGGTTGGATAGGGCCAAACCAACGCTATATAAATACATCGGTAAAATTTTATGAATAAATCAAGTCGAGTTTAAAGCATCCAGAGAATTGTCAATTAAAATCTACCCTCCTCGATTTTAGCACTGATGGAATTCTCGATGTTGTATGTATTTTTAAGTTTTTTGCACCCTTTGAGGCAGAGGATTGCAGTCCCCTAAGTGCAATACTTATTTTGGTTCTCGCAAATTTTGTATTAATTGCAATTAATTGTTCACAGGTTCTTTATGATCTGTAGGCTTTATTTCGGCCTCTGGCGATCAGTTCTTTCTTGTACGTCCATTACTTGGAGTCTATTCCAGAAAAAATGTTTTCGCTGCACATTTTACTAGCAACGCCCTAAAAACTCTAGAGTGCATCCGATGTAGAACTCTTGAGGTCATTCCGTTTTGAGGTCAATTTTTCTCTCTTGAGGTCAATTTTTCTCTCTGTTTTAGCTGGTGAGAGCAGTGAAAGGGATTCTAAAATCAAGCCAGCAATGTCACGTTCGCTTTCGATGGGTCAAATGAGGCGCAAGCACAGTACGCTGAAGAACTTGGGACTTTTCAAGTAGTAATTTAAAACATTTTCCTGAATGAATGATCGTCAAGTTTGAATGAATGAGCGTCAAGAATGAATGATCGTCCTGAATTCTGAATAATGATCGTCAAGTATTCCAATTTATAATTTCATTAATAAAACTAATTTGCACAAGATCTTTCAACCTGGGCGATTCCTAAGTAAGTACGTTACACGAGCATAAAAAAACGCCGATAGAAATAATGTTTTCAGATGCAAGGAAAATGAAACAGGGGCAACGCGTTGGGATTTTTTGACAGAATTGTCCGCCAGACGAAATCGCATCCTTAAAAGTTATGTAACAAATAGCTTACACCACACGTGATGCCAAAACAAAACCAAAAAATTGTCTAATGGACAAATATTGGAAGAAAAATTGAGTTGATAAATTTGAGTACATCATGAGCTGATCGTTAGAGGCGACAAAAAACGCCTAAAAGATCAGAAAACAACTGAACTGAACTACTGGCGTACACTTTTCTGTATTAAGCTGACACAGAGGCGAAGCAGAGCTTCGCTTCGCGTCACTTACGATTCAACGCAAGCACAGAATTGCAAGCTAGCGAAGATAAAATTAGACAGAAACACCAAAATCAAAAAATGGAAAACATTCAGAAAAAAAGTAACGAAACCTAAATATCATTTTATGAGTCTTCAATTTTTTTTTCAACGAGCAGCCAATTATTCGACTTCAGATAGCCGAAAACATCCGCTTTAGTCAAAACCGCTCATTGAGCCGAAAACAAAAGCCATAAAAAATGCTGGCATAGAAAAATTTAGAGCATTAATTTAAAACTTTGATATTTTGCATAACTGTGCCAGTCGGTCATATTTGGAAGTTTGACCTTGAGCTGAACGTTTGATCTTAATTTTGCGGAGAAAAGCAATTTTTCAAAATTTCGAATTGAGCCTATCATGCTCAGGTTTCTCGCCACAACTGAAAATACGAGAAAAAAATCAGAATATTCGAGTGATAATCACAGGAAAGTTGCTAGAAAAACGCGGGAGTAAAATTCCTATTCGCAATTTTACTATTATAATTCTGCACAATTAGAGCTATCTTGTTCCCGATACAAAATCAAGAGTTACGGAAGAAGAATAAAGAAGACGATCAATTGAACCAGATACTTCAAAGGAAGGATGGACAGCTGAAGCTGCCCAATGGTCCGGAGAGAAAAACTTCAGGAGTCAAAACCGTATTCTTCAAAACTTCTCGAGTTAAAATAAATTAGAATAAATCAACTCTAGAAGTGCTTTACCATTATTAGTTATTCAATGCTAGAGGTCGTGCCGGTATGTAAGTACCTAATTTAAATTTTTGAGTGTATTTCATGTGATTATGTTGAGTTAAGGCGAGTTTTCAAGTTGATCCTCCTGAAATGGATCAAAGGTCCACTGTCCAATAAAAACTAACGTTATGCTTGAGTTCCGATCCTGTTTTCAATGGCGTTCGATTTTTTAAGGTATTCTGAGAACTCACCATGGGGGAATTCTTATTTCTAGAGTGGGGGAATTTTGATAGCAGCTTTTAAGCTGTAAAACGTCGCAAGTGAACCGAATTGGCTCCGACCGCACTAGGTAGAAAAACACAAAAGATAGTGTCAATGACTCTTGAGCCAACGGTTATGGGGCCTATTTATCTTAGCCTCATATGCGACATAAATAGGCGACTGTTACGAACTGTCTGATTTTTTAATCAATCTTTTTGGACCTTGAAGCGACACAAATAATCATAATAATAATCATATCATAAAATTTAGGAATAAAATCCAAGGGTTTGCATAAAATCCGGTCATTGCAGGGTTCGAAGTTTATTTTTCAATAAAAGTGTAAGTTTTTTCAGGTCTCTACAGTTGTTGTTCTATCTGATTCATTGTGGCGAGTTTTGAAGAACTTCGTGTACATTCCTAGAGGTCTGTTTTTGCATTCTGGGTCAAACAATATGCTACATTTGAAGTTTTCGTTGCACAGATTAGCTGGACAACATGACCGAAACCAGACATCCGACTCGCACTTCTTCAGACGCATTTATTTGGAGACGGAATTTCATATCATTTGAGCTCTTCCTTTTCCAAAGTCAGCGATGCTTACATGGCTTCTCCAGTCGGTGTCATCTTTTCCACCTAGTATTTTTACAAACAGTTCAACATGAAGCTCTTGGTATAGAGACAAAGGGAGGATCTTAAGTTTTACCAGTTTGTCTTTATAGGAGATATGGCTATTGCTTTCATGAAAATCCATGAGATCGCTTCCGCTGCACTTTTTATATGATTCCTAAGTCGCCTTTCGTTGGTTTCCAGATAGCTGAACTGTAGCTCAGAATTGGTACAACGTTACGGATATATGCGTTTTTTTTTATATTTGCTTTTGGGAAACTCCTTTCGATTACGAAGAGCGCTTAAGGCTTTTTAGCCCTCTTTTCTGCGTGTTGCGTCCCAGAGTAACTCAGCCAATAAAACAAGTATCGGAAACATATGTAAGCGAATCAAAAACGAAAAAAAAGTCCGATTCAAGGACATATTACGTAGTACGTCCAAATGGCTAAATCTACAAAAGCGATGAAAATTAACAGTAAACAGTGGTTCGATAACCGTCATCCAGAAAAATGGTCGTCGCGTGTTGCACCGCGAGCCCATCGGAGAGGCAAAACATAACTGTAACAACCTTTCACTTGCGTCGCATTTGAACCAATTCATAGTTTCAACTAGACACATAACTCAATTTTTCTGCATAAAAAACAGGGTTGGAAACTCGCTTTGGTTACTTTTTTGACAGTGCAGGTTAGACTCTCTTCAGATGGATCATTCTATGTAGTAGCAAAAGCATTGAGGATACTGTGTTTCATTGGGGGTCCAGTCCAACTCCGTCAAAGCACTCAGTTCAGACCACTAGTTTACTTCTGCAAATGTACATCGCTCAGTCATATTCAAGCTCCCAGTCGGTCATAATGCAAGATTTCGTTTCGAATTTAATTTTTCAAAATTCAAATCGAGTCAATCAGCCTGATTTTCTCTTGATAATTGAAATTTACAATACAAGACAGGACAAGAAATCTTAATTGAAAATAATGTGCTCTAGTAACAAAACGAGTAGAGTTAAAATGTGACAAACAAGCATTTACTTAAAAACTGTTTTTTGAAGGATTCTGCGCAGATCTTGAATAGCAAGTAAGGAATTTTTCACGTGTGGGGCGACTGTAACTAGTGGTGCGGGTAACATGCTTTGTAAAAGGTGTGACCCATTTTCTTCAATTTTTTTGAAACAAAAGCTTATCTCTCTGTGTGATTATATCGTGCACTGTGTGTTCCTCTCTCGAACACCGTGAAATGTGTGCATTTTCAGTACTCTTCCGATTTTAGACATATCGGTGCTAGATGCATTTCCAAAGATCGTGGCACAGTATGTTAACCGGCTGGTGATCCAGGACTCGAAAAGAAGCTGTAAACCGCTTGTCTGCTCACCTTACTTTCTAAGCTGACGTGGTAAGTACATTTTCCGAGCAATTTCTTTCCAAAGCATTTCCAAATGGATCCGGCGCTTCAAGTCATACTGAAACAGATATCCAAGTAGCTTGGACGATGATACTTGTTCGATATTGAACACGGAATCGGGTAAGTTTTTCAGAACACCGTTTCAAAAAGAGCACAGGATTTCCTTTGTTTTGCTCAAATTCACTTTCATCGCGTTTCTCTGGCACCAAGTTTGGATGTTTTCTACTTCTTCCCGTGATCAATCTGCCGGCATACACCGGAACCGTTAAAGGCATACACCGGATAATCTAACGTGGTCGTTTATGCAGTAGCAAAAAAATGACAACGAAAAAAGCAAAAAGAAAAGGTCCGCTAAAAGTACCTTGTGGGTTTCCTCTGTTGATACGAAAGAAGGTCGTTGTCTGTCCCTTGAAAATAACTCTTTGTTGGCGATCCGCAAGAAATTCTACAAACCAGTTGAAAACGTCTGGCGTCAAGGGCAATTTGGCAATTTTATCGAGCAAAAGGCTGTGTTTCACTAAATTGAATGCTTTGGACAAGTCAACTTGGAACATCCGCACATACCTGCACTGTTTTCTTTCTAGACTCTCACCTATGTGTTGTTGTATATTTAAAAGGCAGGTTTCAGTGTAGCTTCCTTTCCTGAATGCGAACTGTGATTTGGAGAGCTTAGACTCTATGACAAGTGCCAAGTATTATTGATTAATATTGAGTTCTAACAAACGGGCCAGAATAGTGGGTAACTGATACACGACGATTGTCACCATATATTTTGGGGTTGTTTGTCTTCGGAATCGGTAATATATTAGCAGATTTCATAAGAATAGGAACTGTTCCTTAGATGATCGATCTGTTAAAAATTGTTTCTATTATTGGACTGAGTTCGTCAGCATATTCTTCCAAGAATCACAGTGGTAGTCCATCGAATCCACTAGCCGTTGTCGTTAGCCGTTTCAATGCACGATGCACTTCTGCAGTGGTATTTGGGGGACTGTCGGATCCATTAGTTGTCTTTGGAGTAGAATTATAGTTCGGATCAAGGTTTATACCGGCAAAATATTCATTCAGCTCGCAACTTGTCCAGGTGTTCCTTAGCAGGTTTAACAAATAAGAACACAAAATCAGAAGTTAAGAAAACAGCAGCCGAAATCACATTTAATGGAAAATCGTGCCTGAATTCAATTCAGGCCAAATGCTGATCGAAATTGGTGTATTTAGATTTTTTCACAATAGTAGAGTTGTCTGCTTATAGACAGAGAACCGAGAGTGGCTATGGCAGACCATTAACAATAGTTCTTATTTTTATCTAGATCCAGAGTGCGAATTCGCTGTTGAATCTTCCCAAAGAATTGATTTTAGGGTCCAAACTCATAATAACATAACAATACTTCTTAAATAGCTAGTTATTTTGATCTTGATTAAATTACAAATTTGATTTAATTCCAGAGCTCTTTTGTCAAGTCTTGAGTAAATCTAACCAATCGGAAAAAATATTGTTCGAATAAATTATGGATCACCAGGCAATTTCACTGGGAAGGATCCCCAGTCTAGTTATACTGTTGACCACAGAAGTTCGTACTTTTCGAAACTACTCTCGTTGTTCTCTAAAAGCAATCAGACAATTCTACGCTTGTCAGTTTTGTAGGTCAATTTCGAAAAGTATTTGATCTAGAGCAGAAAGAGCAGTTGTAAACTTGGTTGTTGTTTTTTCCGGCCTCTGATTTTCAGCTGTTTCTAAAAACTTATGCGTGATTAGCTC